ATGTGATTTATAATGCCTTGGATTGTGAACTAGGGACAGATTCTGGAAAAAGATGGGTTTATAGAATAGAGTGAGTACAGAAGAGCGATTGCAAAGACGTTTGACTTTATAAAATGCAAAAAAAACTTTACAAAATTGGTATTAATGTAGCTGAAAATTGCTAAGACAGCTAATTTGATTCATACTTCCTCATCTGATACCAAGTTTGTTCCAAAATGTGTATTTTTAGGAAATAATCACTGCACCTGGACCTAGTTTGATATACCGTACGATTGGCGGTAACCTTGACCTCTACTTCTTCCCTGGTCCTACTCCAGAAGAGGTCACACAGCAGTACTTAGCATTAATTGGAACTCCAACTCTACCGGCTTATTGGAGTTTTGGGTTCCAGGTAAGTGTTTGGACCTTCAACTCTATGAAGAACAAATAGATTTTCTAAGATTTCTCGATGGGGCTATGAGAGCTTTGAAGAAATGAAGGAAAAAGTGGAAAGAAATATAAAAGCTGGGATTCCTTTTGATACGGTTGTTGGTGACATAGATTATATGGACAGATACAAAGACTTCTCAATTGGGGAGGTATGCACTTTGATTTTCAATTAATTTCAACCATGTTTCAATCAAAATTACCCACAGGGCTGGAAGGAATTCCCAGCATATGTGGAAAACTTGCACAGTCGAGGAATGCGAGTAGTACTGATGTTTGATCCAGCTGTTCAGGTTGATTATGATCCTTTCGAAAGGGCTATGCAGGCAGTGAGTTTTCATACGTTGATTGTATCTAATTTCAATTCTCCAAAAATCTCGTGATCTTAGCAAGCCAAATTCGTAGAATGGGAACGTTACGATCAGGTGAAGGCATCCATAAACGTAAGTCATTTGCTAGGTCTACTTAGAATTGGAGCAGAAATGATGGATGACACATTCTAGAGCCTGTATCCATTAGTGAATGGAACGAAAATTATGTTGGGTGTTGTGTGGCCGGACCGTCATACTGCATTCCCTGATTTCCTCGATCCCAGCGGTAAAACTGCTAGCTGGTGGATTGACGAGTTAGTCCGATTCAGACAGCAAGTAGGTTTTTAAAAACCACGTTGCAGCTCTTATTTACTTCTATAGGTTTTCTAAGAACTAAATAGACTGTATACAGCTCTTTTTTTTTGCAGAATAGTTTGTCACATAGCACCAATATTTTAACAATCAAATATTGATGATAACAACAACAGTAATGCCGAAAAATT